TTTGTTAATTTTATTTATTATTAATTAATCTTATTATTTCATATTTTTTTTTCATTTTTCCCTCCTAATTAAATAGAGTGAAATGCCGCCTTTTTAATTTATAAAAGGCGAAATGCAATATATCTTAATAACTTAATATAAAGCTAAATTAGCTTAAAATAGCTTTATTTTTGAGTTTATAGAAAGCTTTAAATTCAGAAAATGTCAAATTTGAAATTATATATACCACATATTCTTATATAATATCATTTTTTTGAAAAATATAAATTTTGAAAACCTAGGATGGAAAAAAACACATAAAAAATATTTAAAATTTTAATTTTATAAAATATAAAAACTGGTATATTAAACTCGCTTTTTGTAAATTTGTATGGCAACTTACTCTATTTAATGATATATTTTTTCTTCAATATTTAAAAAGGTCTAATTAAATTGGTGCAATTGGTGCATCACGCTTAGGTTCTGGTTTAGCAAAATGCATTAATCTCTCAAATTTGACACTTGACCTTTAGTAAAAACAGTTTATTTATTTTGGATTGTGATATTTTTAATTATAAAAACTAATTAAAAACAATAAAACTCTTTTTTCTTTTTCTTTTTATCGTGCTTGTTTTTTTTTGTATTTTCTTTGTTAATTAAGCTCATCATTTATTTTAAACTTTTGCTTTTATTATTAATTAATCTTATTATTTCATATTTTTTCTTCATTTTTTCCTTCTAATTAACTATTTAATGATATATTTTTTCTTGAATATTTAAAAAGTAACAATAAAATTGGTGATGAAGGTGCATCAGGTTTAGGTTCAGCTTTAGCAAAATGTATTAATCTCTCAAATTTGACACTTTACCTTTAGTAAAAACAGTTTATTTGTTTTGGATTGTGATATTTTTAATTATAAAAACTAATTAAAAACAATAAAGTTCTTTTTTCTTTTTCTTTTTATCGTGCTTTTTTTTTTTGTATTTTCTTTGTTAATTAATCTCATCATTTATTTTAAACTTTTGCTTTTATTATTTATTAATCTTATTATTTCATATTTTTTCTTCATTTTTTCCTTCTAATTAACTATTTAATGATATATTTTTTCTTTAACATTTAAAAAGTTCTAATTAAATTGGTGATGAAGGTGCATCAGGTTTAGGTTCTGGTTTAGCAAAATGCATTAATCTCTCAAATTTGACACTTGACCTTTAGTAAAAACAGTTTATTTGTTTTGGATTGTGATATTTTTAATTATAAAAACTAATTAAAAACAATAAAGCTCTTTTTTCTTTTCCTTTTTATCGTGCTTGTTTTTTTTTGTATTTTCTTTGTTAATTAATCTCATCATTTATTTTCAACTTTTGCTTTTATTATTAATTAATCTTATTATTTCATATTTTTTCTTCAATTAACTATTTAATGATATATTTTTTCTTCAATATTTAAAAAGTTCTAATTAAATTGGTGCAATTGGTGCATCAGGCTTATGTTCAGCTTTAGCAAAATGCATTAATCTCTCAAATTTGACACTTTATTTTGGGTAAAAACAGTTTATTTATTTTGGATTGTGATATTTTTAATTATAAAAACTAATTAAAAACAATAAAGTTCTTTTTTCTTTTTCTTTTTATCTTGCTTGTTTTTTTTTTGTATTTTCTTTGTTTATTAATCTCATCATTTATTTTAAACTTTTGCTTTTTTTATTAATTAATCTTATTATTTCATATTTTTTCTTCATTTTTTCCTTCTAATTAACTATTTAATGATATATTTTTTCTTCAATATTTAAAAAGGTCTAATTAAATTGGTGATGAAGGCGTGTCAGGTTTAGGTTCTGGTTTAGCAAAATGCATTAATCTCTCAAATTTGACACTTAATTTTGAGTAAAAACAGTTTATTTGTTTTGGATTGTGATATTTTTAATTATAAAAACTAATTAAAAACAATAAAGTTCTTTTTTCTTTTTCTTTTTATCTTGCTTTTTTTTTTGTATTTTCTTTGTTAATTAATCTCATCATTTATTTTAAACTTTTGCTTTTATTATTAATTAATCTTATTATTTCATATTTTTTCTTCATTTTTTCCTTCTAATTAACTATTTATTGATATATTTTTTCTTCAATATTTAAAAAGGTCTAATTAAATTGGTGCAATTGGTGCATCAGGCTTAGGTTCAGCTTTAGCAAATTGCATTAATCTCTCAAATTTGACACTTTACCTTTAGTAAAAACAGTTTATTTATTTTGGATTGTGATATTTTTAATTATAAAAACTAATTAAAAACAATAAAGTTCTTTTTTCTTTTTCTTTTTATCTTGCTTTTTTTTTTATGTATTTTCTTTGTTAATTAATCTCATCATTTATTTTAAACTTTTGCTTTTATTATTAATTAATCTTATTATTTCATATTTTTTCTTCATTTTTTCCTTCTAATTAACTATTTAATGATATATTTTTTCTTCAATATTTAAAAAGGTCTAATTAAATTGGTGATGAAGGTGTGTCAGGCTTAGGTTCTGGTTTAGCAAAATGCATTAATCTCTCAAATTTGACACTTGACCTTTAGTAAAAACAGTTTATTTATTTTGGATTGTGATATTTTTAATTATAAAAACTAATTAAAAACAATAAAGCTCTTTTTTCTTTTTCTTTTTATCTTGCTTGTTTTTTTTTTGTATTTTCTTTGTTTATTAATCTCATCATTTATTTTAAACTTTTGCTTTTTTTATTAATTAATCTTATTATTTCATATTTTTTCTTCATTTTTTCCTTCTAATTAACTATTTAATGATATATTTTTTCTTCAATATTTAAAAAGTTTAAATTAAATTGGTGATGAAGGTGCGTCAGGCTTAGGTTCTGGTTTAGCAAAATGCATTAATCTCTCAAATTTGACACTTCACCTTTAGTAAAAACAGTTTATTTATTTTGGATTGTGATATTTTTAATTATAAAAACTAATTAAAAACAATAAAGTTCTTTTTTCTTTTTCTTTTTATCTTGCTTGTTTTTTTTTGTATTTTCTTTGTTAATTAATCTCATCATTTATTTTAAACTTTTGCTTTTTTTATTAATTAATCTTATTATTTCATATTTTTTCTTCATTTTTTCCTTCTAATTAACTATTTAATGATATATTTTTTCTTCAATATTTAAAAAGGTCTAATTAAATTGGTGATGAAGGCGTGTCAGGTTTAGGTTCTGGTTTAGCAAAATGCATTAATCTCTCAAATTTGACACTTAATTTTGAGTAAAAACAGTTTATTTGTTTTGGATTGTCATATTTTTAATTATTAAAGCGAATAAAAAAAAAAATATATTTGAATTTATTTGATAGCTTTTATTTGATTTATTTTTTTATCTTTTTTATTGCACTAATATTATTTTATTTATTAATCTAAAGAATAATTTTTAATTTAAAAGTTTATTGTATTTTGATATTTATTTAAAATTTACACAGATTTATTTTATAATTTTTTAGCTCAATGAATATATCATAAAATTTGAAAGTAAAAAGCAAGTATCGTAAATCAAAAAGATTAGTTGTCTTTAATTTTAATTTCTGATGATAAACAACTGGTGAAAAAGGATTAATATTTTGAAAAAGTGTTTTTAACCTAAAATATAAATTTATTTATAGATGCTATTATTGATTTTAAATTTATAAATATCATTCATATTTTTGTTTGTAAATAAATTATTTATTTATTAAAAATAAAAAAATTTAAAAATTAAATTTACTTAAATAAATTAAATCCTCTTAAGCAAACCCTCCGAATTCTCCAAAAACGATCAAATAATTTGGAACTTTTAGTTTAATATTATATCTTATTAAATTATATAAATACCAAGCTTTTATAAGCCAGTCATATTTTTAATCTTAAATATTATCCATGAATCATATTTCTATCTTTTTTTTTTCATCATAATTAATTAATTAGATACCATGATTTAAATAAAACCTCAGGGAGAAATCAAATTTTACTTTTTATTTTAATTTTTGTGGTTTTAAGGAATAAATTTTATTTGCCATTTGAGTGAAGTGGATGACTATATTTTTTTAGATTTATATTAAATATTTTTGTAAAGCAATTCTCAATTTTTAATCAAATTCAATAACTTCCAAATTTAAATTATTATGAAAACATTTTGTTATTATGAAAGCAATTCACTTATAAATCAAAAACTATTTGTAAATGAGTAATTAATTTGATATAAATCAAGTATTTTATTTTTAAAATAAGTTGTAAAATTAATATTTCTAATATCTTGAATAAATAAATGACATATTATGTAACTTATTTAATTGTATTATTAATAAATTATTTAAAAATAAAATCAATTTGATTATGTAACAATGTTTGCTTACAAATTAATTTTCTTCTTTTTAACCAGCATTCAAATTAAGTAAAAGAAAATAGGTAAAGTAAATCTAAAATTAATATGAAATTTTGTTAATTGAAAAAATTATAAATTCTAAAAATAAGTAATAGTTTTTAATAATCAGATGCAACACATAATTTTTAAAATAAATTTATTTGTTTAATTTTAAAATAAGCATTTTATTTGTTTCTATTATTTTTGATTAATACCTTTTTAATTATGGTTAATATTCAAATTTTAAAACTATAACAAAATTATTATAAAATAATCTAAATATTGCTTCTATTATATTTTAGATAATACATTTTATTAATATTGAATTCAAAATAATTATGTTATTTACAGTTGGGGGTTTTAATTTTGTGATCTGCAATATGTTATGAAGGAATTAATCATTTATCTTTTTCAGAATTGATAAGAAAATTAATAACAAATAAATTATATAACTTATTTGATAAATGTAATCAAATTTCAAAACAGAATACGTGAATCTGAAATAAATATATTTAACATTTCGCTATCATTTTTCAAAGTAAATAAAAAACCTATCGAAAAAAAAAGAATAGCTAAATTATTAACTTTAAAAAAGGTAGAATTATAATTAAATTTTTATTTTATATTTTTCAAATAATAATGTAAAAAAATAACTTTTTAATTATAATAAGATATTTATTATTAAATTAATAACACTCTATACACCAAATCACAGATCAGCTAATTTACTTATTTTTTACCTAATCTTTAGATATCTCTTTTATCAATTAAATAAATAGAATGCTCATTTGATTTGTTAAAAAGATCAAAAGACTAAGTAAGGAAAAAAGAAATAATTACCATTTTAAGACATGAATATTAACAAATAATCTAAATAGTTTTCAAATAATTATCAGTGATAAAACTTTATAAAAATTTCTTTGATATTTTAATATTTATATACCTTGAAATATAACTTAATGGATATTTAACTAGCTGATGTTGGTTGTCATAAATTGAACAATAAAAAAATATATCACACATTAGATATAAAATATATAAATTACTAAAGCCTGAAGAATCACGTTACACCTGATTTAATTTTTTTTTAAATTAATATAAACATCAATTTATTTATTTAAGTTACAAATAATAAATAATCTTTTTTTAGATATTGTAAACTGATTAGATAGAAGATCAGTTTACATTATTAATAAAAATTTAAATTGAAACATCTTATCTGTTTGCTGTTATGATTAGAATAATCTCTATGGATTGAAAAAATATATTATAAAATATTTATTCAGATTATTCATACTTACTTATTAAAAATAATCTTTTTTTAATATAAAATAAAGAAATTTAAATCAAAAATATTTTATAAAATATTTTTATTTTATAAACATTAAAAATTTGCAAAAAAATAAATGCTTGTCAAATAGATTCAAATGAATCTGTAAACTAATTTCTTCGCTTTAATCTATTTTCTTAATTACACAATTTTATTCTGAAAATTCACTATTAGTTAATAACTTATTCAGAATTGATTAGAATTTTTAAGAAAGAATTAATTATATAACTTATTTATTTATTTATTAAATATATCTTCAAGTACGATTTTCTTAATTAAAAACTGATTCTTCAATTTGTATTTTTTAAAAGTGAAACAATTATTTTTTTATTTGTTTTTCGCTATCATGCTTTCAAGCTAAAAACAATAACTTAATATATTTATTTAGGTTATTTTTTTATATTACAAATGGACAATAAATAAATACAATTTTTTTAATTTATCATTATTTTAAGATGTTTTTAAATATAATTTTAAATGGAATTCATATAAAGTGCTTTTATTGTAAGAATAATAGATGACAGTCATATTTTGATTTGAAAGACATATTTAAAAAAATTTTGAAAAAATAAAATAATTATTTTTACTCTTTTTAAAACAACCATAAATATCCTCAATATATTAAAATTCATCTATTTTCAGATTAGATCAAAGTAATTAAATTTTGAAAGATAACATTTAAAGAATTGGTAGGATTAATTTAATTATTTTTTGTAATTTAAATTCTGTATCATAATAAATACAGGAAAGTTGCTTGTGTAAGCTAAAAAGCGTTATTACGTTAATGTTAGTAATAATTATAATAATACTATAAATATTTTCAGGTTAGTATAGCTCTGTAATCTGATTTCTTTAATTATAGATATCTGAATTAAATATATTGTAATTTAGAATACACAGTTAAGAATGAAATACCTCTGCAAAATTTACGTGATTTTTTAATTTTTCAGGAATAAAAAATATTTTATATCTTCATAAAGATAATTTTTTTGAATATTTATAGTAGATAAATTTTGTTTTAGAAATCATTTTTGTATAAAAAATAAAAATTTTTAATTTTAAATAAAATAATTGTGATTTTTGTATCTTATGATTTTTAAAAATCAAATTGTTGATTAAATAATTTAAAAGAAATATTTAAAAAATTAATATTATATTGACAGTTTCAAATTCATCATTAAATATTATTAGTGTTTTACAGTTTTCTGAAAGTTAGTAATTATATTAACTAAAAAACATTAAAAATAATCTTATTTAAAATGAAAAACTTAAATTTCTTAATTCTCATAAGTTGTATTTCATTTTCAGCTATAAAAGCCTAGATTTTAGGTAATAATATGCCTTGTTCATATGGTAACCAGAATTGCTCTGCATGTGGTTCAACTCCTGACATTTAGCAACTATTTACCTATTAAAATGGATCCTGTTATGTTACTGATTGTTAAACCATTGGAAATCTCAAGAATGGTTGGATTTGCAATTCTTGTTATAATGGTGATTAATAAGTTACATCAGGTCAATATTTTGATGGTACAAACTGTGTTAATGAGTGCCCTTAAGGTTAATAAGCAGGAGATTTTACAAGTTATATTTGTGAAGTAGTAAACCAAGGTTAGGGGGTTGGTTGCGATCAAGGTGATCAAAATTGCGATGGATGTGGATAAAATGATTATTACACTTAATAATTTACATATAATAACGGAGTTAACCAATGTTAAGTTACTAATTGCTCTACTAACGGAGTTAGATTTTTAAATGGTTATGTTTGTAACTCCTGTAGTACTGCTTCTGGAAGTGGAAATATTCCAAAAGGTAAATTTTATGATCATAAAACTTGCACAGATACTTGTCCTTCAGGTTATAAAGCAGACTAATCTACTGGATTTGTTTGTTAAGCCCCACCTAACCCAGGAACTTAAGTTTAATGCTCTTAAGATTCTTAAACATGTAATGGATGTGGAAATAATCCCGATACTGTAAACATGTTTAAACATGTATCTGGGTAAAATTGCTCTGTTATTGATTGTCATTAATATGCATTTTCTGCATCTGTAAATGGTTGGATATGTAAATCTTGTGCCCTTGCCACTGGAAGTGATAATATCCCTTAAGGTGAATACTATGATGAAAATGCTGATACTTGCGTTAAAAGCTGCCCGATTGGAACATCAGCAAGTGCTAATACTGATTACCTTTGCAGACCAGTTCCAGTAGCGGTTCCATGCTCTAATGATTCTTCTACGTGTAAAGGATGTGGAAGCGATGTTGCAACATAAGGCTACTTTAATTATGTGAGCGGAAATAATTGTATTGTTTAAGATTGCACTTAGGCAACTAAATTTAATGGTTGGGTCTGTAATTCTTGTAGTTTTGTTAATGCTTAAACACCTTTTTAAGGAAAATATTATAATGGTTCAAGTTGTACAGACAATTGCCCTCCTGGTTAATCAGCAAGTGCAGCTACAGGGTATACTTGTTAAGTAATCAATCCAGGGGTACCTGTAGCATGTTCAAAAGATGCATAGACCTGTGGAGGATGTGGATCGACAAGTGATATCTAAAACTTATTCAGTAAATCTAAAGGTAATTTATGTGAAGTTACTGATTGCTCTTCCAACATAATTGGCTCTAATTTGAATGGTTGGATTTGTAATTCTTGCTAAAATGCTTCTGGTAGTGGTAATATTGCTGCAGGTTAATATTTTGATGGTAAAACTTGTGTAAAAAATTGCCCACCAGGATAGCAAGCTTCTGCAGATACCGGATTTGTTTGCTAATACCCTCCTAGTCCTGGAACTTCTGTAGCCTGCTCTACTGATTCTTCAACTTGTGGAGGGTGTGGAACGACTAATTCCATATAAAACTTATTTACTCATGGAAAAGGAAACCTATGTTCTGTCACTGATTGTAACTTATCTGTGATAGGATCTAATTTGAATGGTTGGGTTTGTAATTCTTGTTAAAATGCATCTGGAGGAGCTAATGTTGCTGCAGGCTAATATTTTGATGGTAAAACTTGTGTGAAAAATTGTCCTATCGGTTAACAAGCATCTGTCGATACTGGATTTGTTTGTTAAAACCCTCCTAATCCTGGAGCTAGTGTAACCTGCTCTACTGATTCTTCAACTTGTGCAGGTTGTGGAGCAACTAATACGATATAAAACTTATTTACTCATGGATAAGGAAACATATGTTCTGTCACTGATTGTAAATTGTCTGTGGTAGGATCTAATCTTAATGGTTGGGTTTGTAATTCTTGTTAAAATGCATCTGGAGGAGCTAATGTTGCTGCAGGCTAATATTTTGATGGTAAAACTTGTGTGAAAAATTGTCCTATCGGTTAACAAGCATCTGTCGATACTGGATTTGTTTGTTAAAACCCTCCTAATCCTGGAGCTAGTGTAACCTGCTCTACTGATTCTTCAACTTGTGCAGGTTGTGGAGCAACTAATACGATATAAAACTTATTTACTCATGGATAAGGAAACATATGTTCTGTCACTGATTGTAAATTGTCTGTGGTAGGATCTAATCTTAATGGTTGGGTTTGTAAATCTTGCAGTTCAGCTTCTGGTAGTAGTAATATTCCTGTAGGTTAATATTACGATGGTAAAACATGTGTAGCTGATTGTCCAAGTGGTCAATCAGCAACTGCAGATACTGGATATGTATGTAAACCATTATCTAATCCTGCTTCAGGAAATAATAACTAATCTACTGCATCCAATGCAAGTCTAATAACTTTCATTTTAGGCTTTGCTGCTATTCTAAATTTATTATTCTGATATTTTAGATTACATAAAAAAATAAATAGATTGTATCACTTATTAATATATTTATTTATGGATTCATATGATAAATATTTTTTTAGTATTCAATAAACTAATTTTTTATTTTTTAATATTTAAAATACCTCTTTTATTATTTATTTTAAAAAAATTTAAATTTCACAAAAAATTTGAGAATTTAATCATAATATTTTTATCTAATTTAAAGTAAATTAATGTTTAAAATAATAATTTATCATAAATTTAAATATCAAATAAAAGTATAAATATGATATTTAACGATAATAAACAAAACAACTCTTATCTAAACAAATTTATATCTCTGAAAAAGCTAAGCTAAATTTTATCTCAATATTTCAAGTTTTTTATTTTAAAGTAATTACTAAATTTATTTCAATAAAGAATTAAATCTAAATAAAAATTTGAGTAATAAATTATAAATTTGTATCTTAATTTTAATTTTGAAGAAAAAAAAGAAAAAAATATACTTACTGTATTATTAATTCATCCTAAATATCTAAATATAAATAAATAAATTTACAGATTTATTTTTCTTAAATAATTATCCTAATTTTTTAATATTTTATTTATTTTAAAAAAAATAAATTTACGTTAATTATCAATGATTTGAAAATTTATACAATTATTAAAATTTATTTAAATAGTTTTAAATACCCTTATTAGGTACAAACAACCTCTAAACCTAAATAATTTTGAGCTTGCAAAAAAAAACTATACTGATTAGAGAAGAATTAGAGATATTATTAATATTTCTGTCATTACTATACTAAAACAGAAAAATCTACTAAATAAAAATTTATTATATAAAATCAAAGAACATATTTTTATTTATAAAATAAAATTAAAATAATAAAAAAGCTCTTTTAATTTATTTTTCTTGATCTTTTTTATTTTTCTAATGCTTTTTTTATTTATTAATTTAAAATTTAAATTATCTAAAAATTTGTTTTATTTAATTTTTTTAGTAATTTAAGCTAATTTATAATAAAAAAAGTGAAAACTAAATCAGTGAATCATAATAACTGAAAGTAAAAAGCAAGTGTCTTAAATCAAAAAGACTAGTTGCCTTTGAAATAGATTTCTAATGATGATAAAAAAGTGGTGAAAACAGGATGAATAAATATTAAATATTTGTATAGTGGAATGTAATATATTTTATTAAAAAATATTTTGAGATAGGATAGTAAAAAATATGTAAAGTACCCTAGGGTACAGTCTTTTTCAAGGCTCTTCACTGGATTTTTTGATAATTAAGAAATTATTTTATTGAATTACTGTAGTCCCTCATTAATTTTCACCAACCCCTCCACAATCTTTTTAAGCATAAAATGGTGATAAATTTTTTAAAATTCCTTATTAAGGACTATTAAAAAAAGGATCATTAGTCAGCATTTTAAGTAATTAAAATTATTTTTATTAATTTATTCTTAAATAAATTAAATTTTTAAAATATCTTTTTACAGATTTAATTCTTAAATAAATAAAACTTTATTTTAAATATTTAATTATTAAAATATAACATAAAATCTTTTTCAAAAAGGAAAACATTTTTTAAAATAAAATCAAAAGTTAATTTTATGCCTAAACCACTAAATAATTAATTTGATTATATTTAGAATATCCAAAATATTATCTACAAGATTTTGGCTAAAAAAAATCATAAAATTTTCTCCTCTATTTTTAAAATAATAATTAGAATCTTATTATTAGTAGAATAAATTTTTAATAAATAAAAATATTAAATAAACTAATTTTAATTGAACGTCCTTTATAAATAAATATAATTTTTCTTTCATTTTTTTTATTTCTACAAAATTTTAAAATCCAATAATTATTTTTCCTTAAAACAATAAAAATTATTTTATTACTAAAATAAAAGTCTCAAGTTAAAAATAATTTAAAAATATAATTGAATATCAAAACATATTCTTTGTAATCATTTGATAGCTTTTTTAATTGAATTTTTGTTAGAAGCATCAAATATTTATTCTCATCTATTATGAAATTCTCCATAATAGGTAAAAAAAATATTTATAAATTTACAACAGTTTTTTAGTTTTAATCTAAAGAAGTTTAAATAAAATACTTCTTTTTTTTTAGATTACAAACGATAACTTCTTTTTTACACTATTTCAATTTATAAAAGAAAACATTTATATTTTTAAAGATGAATAATTTTTGAAACTATTGATTATTATTTTGAAAGCTAAAATCTCTAATATGTTGAATTAAATAAATAATTTATATCTATTTCAATACAAATAATAAGAAAAAAGAGATATCACAATTCATCATCTTATAAAGATATTTAAATTTATATCGTAGGTCAATAAAAACAAAAAACTGTAACTTAAATTTAAAAATATAAAAGAAATAATTTGAAAATAGCTTCTGTAAGCAAATCTTGTTTTTATAATACATCAATTATTTATATTCAAGATATAATTTGCATTCAAGCATATTTCAGAATTTATTAAGTTCAATATAAGTTAATCTTGTTCAGAATTTGTAAGAAAATTTATAAATAATTAATTTTTATAACTTATTCAATAATTTGTATTCAGATTGATGAGTGATAATGTTAATCAAGTTTTTTTAATTACATTTTCAAAAATATATAAATAAATACAAGACTGATAGTTTCTAATAATATAATTTTAAATTTTGTAACTTAATTTTTAATAAATAAAAGAAATAAATTGAAAATAACTTTTGTAAGCAAATATTGTTTTAATAATATATCAATTATTTAATATTCAAGATATAATTTTCATTGAAGCATATTTTAGAGTTTTTTAAGTTGAATACAAGTTAATCTTGTTTAGAATTAGTAAGAAAATTTATTAATAATTAATTTTTATAACTTATTCAATAATTTGTATTCAGATTGATGAGTGATAATGTTAATCAAGTTTTTTTAATTACATTTTCAAAAAATATAAATAAATATATGACTGTAAGTTTCTACTAATTTTAAATTTTGTAACTTAATTTTAAATAAATAAAAGAAATAAATTGAAAATAACTTTTGTAAGCAAATATTGTTTTAAAAATAGTTCAATTATTTATATTCAAGATATAATTAGCATTCAAGCATATCTTAGAGTTTTTTAAGTTGAATACAAGTTAATCTTAACCAGAATTAGTAAAAAAGTTATAAATAATTAATTTTTATAATTTGTTCAATAATTTGAATTGATTTTTATGAGTGATTATTTATGTAAATCAAATTTTTTTAATTAAATTTTCTAAAATGTATAAATGTATGCATGACTAATAGATATTTGCTAGTAATTCAAATTTTTTATTTATATAAAAAATAAAAGAAAGTGAAACTAAATATTTAGATTAGTTGAATTATAAAAATAATCAATTTATTTATTAAAAGGATCAGTTTTTATCATCTACTGTTGATAATTATTAATTAATAACTAAGTTTTTAAAATTATAAATTATTAATTAGTAGGATTAATATATTCATAATTTTTCTTTGTCACTTTTACACTTACGACAGAAGTTTCATATTATTATAAAATCAGCCACTGATCTATCTAACTGTCATTTTCAAAAGCAATTGAAATCATTTTCTAATTTATGTAACTTAAACTTATAGCAATACATATAGATAAATGAATAAAGCAAATAAATATTTAATTTTTGATATTATAAATTAAAAAATAAATATATTGGTGTATACATAAATGATATTTACTAATAATTTTTAAATTTGTATTTAGATATAATATAAAAGAAAGTGAAACTAATTATTTAGATTAGTTGAATTATAAAATAATCGATTTATTTCTTAAAAGTATCAGCATTTATCATCTATTAGTGACAATTATTAATTAACAACAAAGTCTTAAAAATTATAAATTATAAATTAGTAGGATTAATATAGTAAGAGTTTTACTTTTTCACTTTACACTTAAAACAGAAGTCTCATTTTATTATGACATCAATAACTATTATAACTTTCATTTTCAAAAATTATTTAAATCATTTATTATATTAATTTTTGTAACCTAATTTTATGATAATAAACATAAATAAATGTATGAAACAAATAAATATTTTATTTTTGATATTATAAAATAATTTATTTCGTCTATTCAATCCATTTTGAATAAAATATTTCTAAAATATTATAATTTTTTATAGACTTTTAAATGATTAAATAGAAAAAATAAAATTTGAGTAAGATTACTTTTTGTGATATAATAGGATTAATTTATTATTTTTTACTTTCAACGCATATTTAAATTAAAAAATAAAAAGTTGTATTGTAACCTTTTTGAGGTTTATAATATATCTCCAAAATTAATTTCAATATTATTAGCTTATAATATCAGGAGTATTTCTTAGTTTTCAATACATTATTATATTTAAATATATAATACATACAGTAAAACCTATTAAAATCACACTACTCATTTGAGGGCCGATCACCATTTATTTTCTCGGTTTTTTACACTTTATTATTTCCAAAAATTAATAATAAAAGTAAAACCTTAACAATGGTTATTACAGTATTTAGATTTTTTTATTTTTTTAACAATAATTAATAATTCATAAAGGTATATGAGTTAAAGCAGTTGCATTTGAAGATCTTAAATCAATATTTAGTAATTATCAATAGACTTAAATTAAATTATGATGATTCTTAGATGGTAATAACAAAAAAATTAATCTAAATGGGAAAAAAAAAGTTTCAAATTTCACTTTAAATCTTTTCAGGTTTAATATTCATACAGATTTAATAATCAAATTATTCAACAAACTTTTAGAATAAACATTTAGAAAAATGAAAAATTTATTCATCCTTGTGGTTTTCTTTAGCTCTCTTATGCTTACTGTTATCTGTTAACCAGGGAATCCTGTTTATTGTTCTTTGGATGGAACTTGTAAAGCATGTGGATATACTAGTTAAATCTCAAATTTGTTCTCATTGAAGAGTGGTTATTAGTGCTTTATTGCTGATTGCTCAAAAATCGGAACTAATAAAAATGGTTTTGTTTGTGGTTCTTGCACTTAATATACATTTTACGATGGCACTGATTGTATTTAGAACTGCCCTTAAGGTTAATATGCAAATAGATATACATAAAATAATTGTTAAACAGCAAATCTTGGAAGACTTGTTAAATGTAGTGATTAGGCTGCAGATTGTTCAGGGTGTGCAAATAACTTAGATGCCATTTCTTAATTTAAATTTGATTCTTAAACATAGTAATGTATGATTAATGACTGCTCTGCTAATGTATTATATCTTTTTTTGAATGGATTCGTTTGTAATTCTTGTTATTAAGCTAAAGGAAATGGTAATGTTCCTTCAGGTTAATATTACGATCCTAATGCTTAAACTTGTGTAGATACTTGTCCTCAAGGTAAATATGCGAATTAATTAACTAAATTTATTTGCGTAAATTAACCTAATCCAGGAACTGGAGTTTCATGCTCTAAAAACTCTAAAGATTGTACTGGATGCTAGTTTGCAAACCTATTTGCTTATGGATCTGGAAATACTTGCTCAGTTATTGACTGTAAGTAAAGTACTATTAATCTTAACCTTAATGGCTGGGTTTGTAATTCTTGTTCCCTTGCTCCTGGAATAGGTAATATCCCTTAAGGTTAATACTATGACTCTAGAAGTAAAACATGTGTAAATACTTGTCCTAATAATGGAGTAGCAAGTGCTGATACTAATTTTATTTGCGTAACAAATCCTGCTCCTGTTCCATGTTCAAATGATTCTTCTACATGCAATGGATGTGGAAATGATAATTCCATTTAATAATTGTTCTAATATGTAAGTGGAAATAATTGTAATGTTATAAATTGTTCAGCTCCTGCACTTAATTCTACACTTAGTTCTTCTTAAAACTCGAATTTTGCTGGATGGATTTGTAGATCTTGTGGTGTTGTTACTGGAGCTAACTATCCTGTACTTGATGGATAATATTTCTTAGATACTAAAGTTGGATGTGTCAGTAAATGTCCTGATGGATATATAGCAAATTTAGCAACTGGATATAATTGCTAACAAACTAATCCAGGTTAAGATGTTGCATGCTCTAACGATTCTTAAACTTGTAATGGATGTGGATTAACAAGTGATATCTAAAATTTATTCAGTAAATCAAAAGGTAGCTCATGTTCTGCTATTGACTGCCATTCGAAAATAATTGGTTCTAATTTGAATGGTTGGATCTGTAATTCTTGTTAAAATGCTTCTGGAAGTGGAAATATAGCTAAAGGTTAGTATTTTGATGGTAAAACTTGTGTGTCAAGCTGTCCTACTGGTTAGCAAGCAAATTAAGCAAATGGATTTACTTGCTAATACCCTCCTAGCCCTGGTAGTGATGTAACCTGCTCTACTGATTCTTCAACTTGCGGAGGATGTGGATCTACAAATGCCATATAAAACCTGTTTACTCGTGGAAAAGGAATCAATTGCTCTGTTACAGATTGTAATTTGTCTATAGTTGGCAATAATCTGAATGGCTGGGTCTGCAATTCTTGTAGCTCAGCATCTGGAAATTACAATATTCCTAAAGGATAATTCTATGATGGAAAAACTTGCGTACCAAACTGTCCTAATGGTTAATAAGCCAGTGCAAGTACTGGATTTGTTTGTAGAGGTCAAGGTACAGACGTTGCATGCTCTAGTGATTCCTCAACTTGTGGAGGATGTGGATCAACAACTGCCATTTAAGGCCTCTTCACTCATAGTAAGGGTAATAATTGTTCAGTTACTGATTGCTCAACAGCTGGAGTTGGATCTAATCTGAATGGTTGGGTTTGTAATTCTTGTAGTTAAGCTACTGGTAGTGGTAATATAGCCTCAGGAAAATATTACAACGGTTCAACATGCGTATCGGAGTGTCCAAGTGGCTAATCAGCAAGCGTAGCTACTGGATACGTATGTAAAGTAGCATCTACTCCTGCTGCAGGAAATAATGCCTCATACTCAAATCTAATTGGTTATGTTTTAGTTTTTGCTATTTTAAATTTCTTCTTCTGAATTAATATCAAAATATTAAGAATAATAAATATTTTATTTTTGCAAATTTATATAAATAATTTTTTATTTGTTATAAAGCTGAAAATATTATTTTTCTAGTATTCTTTCTACAAAATATTTTTTAAGATTTTTACAAAATAAACCACCTGCCCTATCTTTTCTCAAAAACTTTGAAGTAGAAAGTATAAATTAGCATCATTCTAGGTGGAGTGAATAATTATTATTTTTACAATATTTAAATAAATATATAATATATCAAGATAAGGAAATGTTATAATCTAATTTTATTTTTCTAAAATAAATAATTTTAATGGCATTATATTTAATTTGAATGATTTAAATTTCTAAAAATACTAATTTTAGTTTTCTAATTAATTTATAAAGAAGAAATTGAAATAGAGACATTATACTTATTCAGTAAAGATTTTGAAATAAAATTGAATTATTTTCTAAAGATATTTAAAAGTAGAATGTATTTCCTTCCATAAAAAAATGACAAGTACCAAAAAGAAAACTCATTAAACTAATTTTAAATAAATTAATAATAAAATAATTAAAATATATTAGTATTAGTCAATTATATAGAGTGATTTAATTTAGAATCCTCTTTATTAATTATTAATAAATTGCTATAAACTTTACATAGAAGTATTATTATTTAAATTTACTACAATTTTTATATATAAAACAATAGATTTGTAAGTATTATCAGTATTTTGTGTAGCTTTTCTTAATTATTTCTATTTAATTAAAATTAATATAATTTTTTGGATTTTTAATCATTTAGGTTACAAATACCTTTTATGAGTAATTGTAATCTAATTAAATAACTGTATTTAGAAACTTAATAAAGTTACAAATTTAAAAATATTCATTTTAATTAATGAGATGAATTAGATCGATCTATCAGATGTAACAATAGAATGGTTAAATAAAAAACATATAAAAAAATATTTGCCATCAATATTTTACATAGTTATTTTGCTCTAATGAATATATAAATAGCTTTTGAAGATAAAAATAATAAAGTTTAAAATCATTTTATAATGTATCTTTCTTTATAAATAAATTAAAAGTTTCAGCAATTTTGATTATAATAATTGAAAACTGTAACTCCTTTTGGTTTATAATTAATTTAAAAAAAATGTATTCAATTTGATTTTAATAATTTTTTTTTTACTTACTTGATAACGCAAAATTGCCTTTTAAATCCTTAAATTAGATTGTAATCAATCTTATCTCAGAATTTATTAAGCTGATTTTTCAGAATTCATTAAATTAATATTTCAGAATTAATTAAATTCGTTTTTCAGAATTGATAAGAAAATTAAAAAAATTAATTTTTTATTACTTACTTCAAATTATTAATCAAGTTTCAACTTGAAGCAAATATATTAAAGAGCTTATTATTTTAATAATAAAGATATATTGAAATTATTTGTTTATTTAATATTTATTTACATAATAAAATATTTTATTTTCATTCATTTCTTTACTTTGATAAATAATTAATAAATGATTTTCCTTATGCTTTAATTTTAACTAAAAAATCATTTCTTATTTATGAAACAGTTTCTTAATTAATTAATTGATGAGTTAATAATAAAATTTTGAAACTTAAAATTTTTGATTAAAAGGATTGTTTTTTCTTATCGCAATTTATTTTCTAAACCCAAATCAAATTTAGAAGTATATTGTTTCAAAAATTTTAAGGCAAAAGCATGTAAACAAGTATCATAAAAATGATTATAATTTATATAGAATAAATGAATGATAAACTAATTCCTGATTAAAGAAGTATTCTTATATTGAATATCTAATATAAGAATATTTATCAAATTTGTTTTTTATTGAACAATAGGATTTTTGTAAATCAAAATCTTAAATTATAAAGCATGAATTTTGCGATCCCTTTTATTTTATGCATTTATTTATTTATCTAAAGTAAATATGGAAAATTTATTTATTGGTTGAAACAGATATATCATGACTTTCATAACATCACACCCGCCTAAAATAAAAATGAAAATTTCAAAGTTATTTGATAAATAGATCATTTTTTATAAGGGTGGGTATAATAATATATTGGAATACATAATTTAATTAGTATTAGATGTAAATTTGAATGAAAATAATATATGTAAATATAAACTTAATACTTCTTTGATATTATTGTTTTATTTTCAAGATAAACCATTCAATAAATGAATAGAGATACCATGATTTATTCCTTTCAACTATTTTTACTTATAATAGAATTGTCAAAAAATTGGTTTATTTAATAGGAGTTTATAAAATTTAAACTATTATAATTTTTTAAACAAATAAAAAATAAAATATTTTTTTCTCCAAATTTTTTATTTCCTATTAAATTTCTATTTGTGTAACTTATTATGAAAATTTATAATTAATTTAGATCTTTTCTAAAAATTAATTATGACTTCAAACGAAAAATATCTTTTTATAATATTACGTAAATATAAGAAAATTGATTTTCATTATCATTTAAACACGGTTTTAATAATAACTTCTTTGGCTTATTTTGATTAATGAGTGATTTTGATTTTAAAAGGGGAATTGAAAAACAATATAAAGCAAATCAAATTTAAAGAAAAAACATCAAAATACCTCACCCTATTGTAATATTTAAGCAATTTTTTTACAGAACAATAATACAATTAAAATAAACTAGCTTTTTAAATATACTCAATTCTAAATAAACTCTTAAGAAAATATTATTTAAAATTAACAATTATTTTAAATTGAATAATAGTTAACATATAAATACATACAATATTACTTTATTTATATGACAAAGTTTACTACTCAAAATTACAAAATCAGTAAATTAAATTTGTTAAAATCTTTGCGCAATGAATTTTTGTAACTTATTTAATCATTTAAAAATAAGTGAAAATTGTATTTAGCTTACATCTTCAAAATACAATTTAGTATTTAACTTATTATTAATATTTATTAATAAGTACAAACAATCTAAAGAAATAGATAGACTTATTATTAATATTTATTAATAAGTACAAACAATCTAAAGAAATAGATAGACTCATTCTTAGCATTTTTAAAAATGGTTGAGTTATTTAGTAAAATTGATTATAATCAATCCTTCATTACTACAAAGAAAGATTAAAAATCTGATCGATAATTGAGTCATCATTTAATTTTTAAATAATAAAAATAACATGAAAAAACAAATATTTGATTTTTTATGAACAATTTAATTATTATTTTACCTCTTTTAAATTTTCTTTTATATCAAACCATCTTAATTACCATCACAAGATTGTCAATGAATTCTTTGCTTATTTGATTGAAATATTTCTATTTTGTAGTAAAAATAATAAGCTATAAATTTGGATTTTTATTTGAGAAGGCATGAAGACTTCCTTCAAAAAAATACTAAAGTTACACTTATCAAATTCTTTTATTTATCTATAAAATCTAAAAGATGATGAATTACCTATTAAAAATCAAATATATATTTCACTTTTATTTTTTCATTTAACAATGATAATTTATCTAAATTTTGCTAAATGAAAATTAATAAGAAAATAAGATTATTGGTTTTATATTATTAGCAAAATGAAATCTGAAAAATAAAATCACAAAAATCACTTTTTTGTATATTGCTTATCATTTTGTTGGTAAAAAATATCATTGAATAAAATTTATATCTAGATTTTACTCGATTTGATTAAACAATAATATAGTACATGATTAATGAAGCCATTTGACATTACAAAAATATTTTGTTATTTATGTAATATGTTTTTTATTAAAAATTAAGTTTTTAAAACATACAATATACTAGATTTAATCAGAATATTTGAGCTATTGCTTTTCATTTGAAGACTAATTTTATTTTGAAACATAATCAAATTTATTTAGTTCTCCATTATAAAAAAATAATTCAATGTTTAGTGGATCAACAGATTTAGCATTTATTTATAGTAGTAAACTTAAAAATCAATTCATTTTTACATTGATTAACTATAGATATGAAAGATGCAATATAAATTTTGATTTCAAAGAAACATTTTAAATTATTTAGCACATAAAAGAATATGTAAATATTTTTATTTGATGGATTTTCACCTTAAAAACTAAATAATCAATAAAAAAGAAAAAATGCCATGCATCTTACTAAGATTATATTCAAGTAAAATAATTATTACTATTCTTTCATAAATTAAATTCAATTTAGTTATTTAATTATATATATTTTAGAATACAAAAATAAATAGACATATTTTCTTCCAATTTTTACATTTATAATAAATTAAAGACGTTGCAATTTTTAATCTAATAAGATTTGTAGAAACAAACTTGTTTGCTTATTTATACGAATTGAAATACAAATACATAATGATATAAAAATTAATTTAAACTAAATTATATAGGTTTAAATTAGCTTTCAAATACTTTAATAATTAATAATACTTATAAACATTTCATAATCAAAATTAATTTTAAAAAATAATAAATTTTATAAAAAGGAAAAACTTAATTGCCATTATCTTTATTATTTTTTGAAGAATAAGGAAATTTTGAGTAGTTTTCCAAATACTCTATTATGTCTTTGTTGACTATTATAAAGATAAATAAGATATCAAGGTAGTGAGTGGAATAATTTAAATACATTAATCCGAATTTTCTTTAAATAAAAATAAATGTTTCATATATCTATAAAAAGTTGTCATTCTAATAAGATTAATTCAAAGGGAATGGCAATATTAGTATTTTAATTTATCTAGATAATGTTTCTATATTAAAAATATGAATAGTATATGCAAAATTGTTGCATATATTTTATATAATAAATTAATTAAGTAAGTGTAACTGATATAAATATAATCATTTTTTTCCCAATTAGTTACAAAATTTGATTTATCAGATTATTCGTTAGTATTTATCACTTGTAATGTAACTTTCCTTCCAAATTATATTTAATCATAATGATTGATTAAATTTTTAGATTGGGAACTATTTCGCAAATTAATTGCTTTATCAAATCAATTTCCATAATTTAATTTTGCAATTTTTTTCTAGTTTGTTACTTCAGAATTTTATTTGATTTGCATCAAACATTTTTCAGAATTTATCAAAAAAATTTCATAATTAATCCTTTGTTTTTTTTATTAAAAATAAAGCAAATGATGAATTGATTTATATAACTTATTTTGTATTTTTATTTATTTCATGAAACTTAATCTAAAATAATTATTATAGATTTATATGTTCATATTTAATAAATTACATTTTGGGCTAAAATATTTAGCATTTAAAATTTTAAAAATTGCAGATTTAAATCTCTAAAAAATTTTGATGTCCAATTTTAGTACTATAAAATAATCTATCATTATTAAATGAGTTTGTATTAATAAATTTATATTAGATTGGTTTACAGTTACTCAATTTTCAAATTAAATTTATAACTTCAAATTGATAAATCTTTACATCAAAATCAAATTAATTAATTATTATTTTGTGAGAGGTTGTAATCAAAGAAACTTTTTATCTAGAAAAATAATAACTGAATTCCATTTAATATTTCAAAATTATTATATACCATAATTAATTAATAACTAACTAGTGTAACTGCAGATTTGTACATTAGGCAAAAACTAATAAAAGTTTTAATAAATTATTCAAATATATTCTTTGTTTACACATTAAATAAAAGCAATTAAGGTAAATCTAATCTTAATTATTCAATAACAATCATTTTTTATTGTAATCATTCATAATTATTATTAGCCTAACAGTTTCAAATTAATCTTTAAGAATTCTTGTTCTAATATTTGATTTTATAATATTTAATTAAAAAAAATAAATATTAAAAATACATTTTTGAAATGAAAACCTTAACTAATTTGATTATCATAAGTTGCGTCATGTTTATATTAGCGGATGCTGCTAATGTTGGTGATTAAATTACTTGTAATAAAGGTGCATAATCATGCGATCTATGTGCTTAAGGCTCAGCTGCAATTTTAAATCTTTTTTAATTTACTGGTTCTTATTGTTAGGTTAAAGATTGTACTCAAAGCTCTGTTGGAAATAACTTAAATGGCGCAGTTTGTTCATCTTGTTAAGATGTACAAAGTGATCTTACTTCGTAAGGTCCTTTTTTTGAAGGTACTTAGTGCGTTTAATAATGTAGTCCAGGTTTGTATGCAAGTGATCTTAATGGTTATAATTGTTAAGTTGCAAATCCAGGCTAGCCAGTTGATTGCTCTCTGAGCTCAGGTTGCAATGAGTGTGGTTTAAATTATTTCGCTGTAAATTAATTTAATTTCGACCTAAGTTCAAAATTGTGCAATGTCATAGATTGCTCTTCTAATGCAGCAACTATTTTGAATGGTTGGGTTTGTAACTCTTGCAAATCAGCTACAGGAACTGGTAATATTCCTAAAGGCTAATATTATGATGGTATTAATAAAACTTGTGTAGATACTTGTCCTTCAGGTTAATCAGCAAGTTAAGATACATAATTTGTTTGTTCCCCTCCTCCTAATCCTGGTACAGAGGTAGGATGTTCTACAGACTAGGCAACTTGTAGCGGATGCGGAAATAAAAATGAATATTTAAGAATATTTAATTATAAACCTAGTAATAGTAAATGCTATGTGAAAGATTGTCATGCAGCTACTATAGGACCTTTCCTGAATGGTTGGGTATGCAACTCTTGTATGTAAGCTTCAGGAGATGGAAATATTCCTAAAGGTTAATATTTTGATGGTACTACTTGTGTAACAAATTGTCCTGATGGATACACAGCAAGTGCTTCAACAGGCTATACTTGTTATAAAAACCCCAAACCGGTGGCATGTTCTAAAGATTCTTCTACTTGTGCAGGATGTGGGGATACTCCTAGTCTTTAAAATCTATTCACTTACTCAGGTGGAAATACTTGTACAGTTAAAGATTGCTCTTAAAAAGCAATAGGCGCTACTTAAAATGGTTGGATATGCTAATCTTGTAGTGCTGCTACTGGTATTGATCTTATTCCATCTGGTTAATACTATGGTAAATCATGTATTAGTAATTGTGGTAAAGGATATTCAGTAAGTCAAGCTACTGGATTTAACTGTATAAAATCAAATCCAGGTTAATTAGTTGCCTGCTCAAATGATAGTAAAACATGTAATGGATGTGGGTCAACAAATGATATTTAGAAATTATTTGCTATTGGAAAAGGGTCCACTTGTGGTGTTATTGATTGCTAATCTGTAATAGTGGGTTCTAATTTGAATGGTTGGGTTTGCAACTCATGTTCAACAGCTGTAGGAACAGGAAATATTAATTCAGGTTAATATTACGATGGAACAAATTGTGTAACAACTTGCCCTATCGGTACAAATGCAAGCAAGGATACTGGTTTTGTATGCTTATACCCTCCTAGCCCAGGTGCTTCTGTTGCTTGCTCTAGTGACTCTTTCACTTGTGGAGGTTGTGGAACAACAAGTAGTATTTAAGG